TTCCTGAAACAGCATTGGGACTCCTCAAGCCTCTCCTCAGCGTGCCTGGCGAGGCGATGTTGAATAATCCTTGCTAGGACCTTTCCCGGCACACTGAGGAGTGAGATGCCCCTGTAGTTGTTACAGTCTGTGTGGTCCCCCTTCTTAAAGAGGGGAACCACCAGGGCATCCTTCAAATCCTGCGGAACCCGTCCAGTGGTCTAGACTGTTGTTATGATGTCATATAGGGCAGTCTGTGCACAAACGCCACCCTCCCTCAGAATTTCGCTTGGGAGATCATCTCTGCCCGCTGCCTTTCCTGGTCTCAGACTCCGGATCGCCTTCAGTACTTCCTCAACAGATGGTACTTCAGCCAGCCACTCACAGGGGGTGACTTCTTCCAATATTTGAGGCACCGCAGCCTCAGCAGAGTCATCCTCGCTTTGTGCCACAATGTTTTCCTGGCTGATGGATTTTCCCTCCCCCAGGACCTCACAGAAATGCTCAGCAAATCTGCAAACCTATTCCTGGGGGTCGGAGATTGGATTACCGTTTTTTCCCCTAATGATGATAATAGGTGTGGCGCTGCAGGTTACTTTTTTGATGGAGTTAATTAGAGATTTGTGATCGCGGGCCACTGAGGCAGACTCCATCCCCTCAGCAACCCGCGACCACCACCCATCCTTGCAGCGCCTCACGGCTCTCCGAACCTCCGAGCGAAGGCTGCGGTAAGCCTCCTTATTCTCTGACGTGGGATTCTGTAGCCGATGACAGTGGGCCTTTCGCTTTTTCTCAACCATCCACACACACATCACACTACACATCACACACACCACACACTACACACACATCACACACACACTATACTACACACACAACACAACACACTACACACGCCACACACACTACACATCACACACAACACAACACACGCCACACACACACTACACACACATCACACACACACTATATACACACTACACACACATCACACTACACAACACACACACTACACACACACCACACGAGTAATCGTGCCACGTGTGTTTCTATGCGTGCAGCCATTCTGCCGATCCACTGCTGGATGATGAGGAAGGTAGAGGAGGCGCTCAATCCCCACGTCGAGTGACGGCTGTTTGACCATACTTCACCCCGCTGGTCAGCGTGAGTTGGTGAACATTGTGGTAATGGTGGTGATGATCCTAATTACTGGTGATTACTTTATCTGAAGGGAATAAACTAGAAAGCAGAATCCATTGCGTGGGCAATAAAAACGTCGCCTGTCGTGTTCACGCCTGCGGACAGGACCCACAGAGAGAGGCCGCAGGGCTGGCTAAGAGAAACTTCAACACAACTACAACAACAACTACCACAACAACACTAGCACAACAACTACAACAACTACTACAACTACCACAACTACTACAACACTACCACAACAACGACAACAACACTACCACAACAACTACTACGACAACAATTACAACAACTACGACAACAACACCACAACTACTACAACACTACCACAACAACTACCACAACAACAACTACTACAATAAATACTACAATAACAACTACTACAACTACTACAACACTACCACAACAACTTCAACACAACTACTACAACTACTACAACACTATCACAACAACTTCAACACAACTACTACTACAACAACTATAACAACACTATCACAACAACAACTACCACAACTACTACGACAACAACTACGACAACAACAACACCATAACAACTACCACAACTACTACAAGAACACTACCACAACAACTACTACGACAACAACTACGACAACTACTACAACTACCACAACAACTACAACAACACTACCACAACAACAACTACGACAACAACTACAACAACTACTACAACATCTACCACTACTACAACACTACCACAACAACTACCACAACAACTTCAACACAACTACTACAACAACTACAACAACACTATCACAACAACAACTACGACAACTACGACAACAACACCACAACAACTACCACCACAACAACACTACCACAACAATTACAACAACACTACCACAACAACAACTACTACAACAACTACCACAACACTACCACAACAACTTCAACACAACTACAACTACTACAACAACTACTACAACACTACCACAACTACTACTACAACACTACCACAACAACTACTACAACAACTACTACAACAACTAAACACTACCACAACAACTACAACACAACTACTACAACTACCACAACTACTACAACACTACCACAACAACTACTACAACACTACCACAACAACTACTACGACAACAATTACAACAACTACGACAACAACACCACAACAACTACCACAACTACTACAACACTACCACAACAACTACCACAACAACAACTACAACAACTACCACAACTACTACAACAACTTCAACACAACTACTACAACTACAACAACACTATCACAAAAACTACTACAACACTACCACAACAACAACTACAACAACTACAACTACTACAACAACTACCACAACTACTACAACACTACCACAACAACTTCAACACAACTACTACAACACTACCACAACAACTTCAACACAACTACTACAACTACAACACTATCACAACAACTTCAACACAACTACTACAACTACTACAACAACTACAACAACACTATCACAACAACTACTACAACACTACCACAACAACAACTACTACAACTACTACAACAACTACAACAACACTATCACAACAACTACAACAAGACTACCACAACAACTACTGCAACTACTACAACAACACTACCACAACAACTACTATGACTACTACTACAACAACTACTACAATAACAACTAGGACAACTAATACAACAACTACTACTACGACAACAACTACTACAACACTACCACAACAACTACTACAACACTACAACTACTGCAACAACTACAACAACTACTACAACTACGACAACAACAACTACTACAACGACAACAACTACTACGACACAACAACTACTACAAAACTACAACAACTACTACAACTACTACAACAACTACTACAACACCTACAACTACTATAACTACTACTATAACAACTACAACTGCAACTACTCCAACAACTACTCCAACAATACTACAACTACTGCAACAACTAACTACCACAACTACTTCTACAACAATACTACTACAACTACCACAACAACTACTACCACACTACAACTACAATAACTACTACTATGACAACTACTAATTCAACAAATACTACAACTACTTCAACAACTACTACTACACCTACAAAAACGACTACTACAATAACTACTCCAACAACTACTACAACAACTGAAACTACTACAACAACTGCAACTACTACAACAACTACTGCAACAACTACTATAACTACCACTACAACAACTGCAACTACAACAACTACCACAACAACTACCACAACAACTACTACTACTACAAGACCACAACTACTATTATAATAACTGCAACTACTACAACTGCAACTACAGCAACTACAACTCTTACAACTACTACAACAATACTACTACTACAATACTACAACTACTGCAACAACCACGGCAGCAGCCGCCATATCGCCCGCCACTAACATCATCAAACACCACAGAGCCTGTCCGTGCCAGGCTAGGTGCACTTACGAGTGTGGACGCGGGGGATGAGGGGGATACAAACCCTCCCCCCAGGGCCATTGCCCGAAACGTCGCCTGATATATATTGTTGTTCCGATTAAGGCTTCGTACGCCAACGCAGTCCAAGTCGCACACACAGAGAGCTTCACACACACAGTTACACACAGAGTTACACACACACAGAGCTTCACACAGAGAGCTTCACACACACAGTTACACACAGAGTTACACACACAGAGCTTCACACACACACAGTTACACACAGAGTTACACACACACACACAGAGCTTCAAACAGAGAGCTTCACACACACAGTTACACACAGAGTTACACACACAAAGCTTCACACACACACAGTTACACACAGAGTTACACACACACACAGAGCTTCACACAGAGAGCTTCACACACACAGTTACACACAGAGTTACACACACACACAGAGCTTCACACAGAGAGCTTCACACACACAGTTACACACAGAGTTACACACACAGAGCTTCACACACACACACAGTTACACACAGAGCTACACACACAGTTACACACAGAGCTACACACACAGAGCTTCACGCACACACACAGTTACACACAAAGCTACACACACACAGAGAGCTTCACACACACACAGAGCTTCACACACAGTTACACACAGAGCTACACACACACAGAGCTTCACACACACAGTTATACACAGAGCTACACACACACAGAGAGCTTCACACACAGAGAGCTTCACACACACACAGTTACACACAGAGCTACACACACAGAGAGAGCTTAACAACACACAGAGAGCTTCACACACACACACAGTTACACACAGAGCTACACACACAGAGAGTTACACACAGAGCTACACACACACAGAGAGCTTCACACACACAGTTACACACAGAGTTACACACACAGAGATTCACACACACACAGAGCTTCACACACACAGTTACACACAGAGTTACACACACAGAGATTCACACACACACAGAGCTTCACACACACAGTTACACGCAGAGTTACACACACAGAGCTACACACACACAGAGCTACACACACACAGTTACACACAGAGCTTCACACACACAGTTACACACAGAGCTACACACACAGAGAGATTCACACACAGTTACACACAGAGCTACACACACACAGAGAGCTTCACACACACAGTTACACACAGAGAGCTTCACACACAGAGAAAGCTTCACACACACAGAGCTTCACACACACACAGTTACACACAGAGCTACACACACAGAGAGCTTCACACACACAGTTACACAGAGCTACACACAGAGAGTTACACACAGAGCTACACACACAGAGTTACACACAGAGAGCTTCACACACAAAGAGAGCTTCACACACACGCACGTACCGTGAGAGGTGCGCGCCGCTCCGACCGTACGCTGCCCCGCCGCGGGAACGTCGACTTTCCAAGTGGGCAGCAGGAGACTCGGAAGCAGGGCGCAGGCGAGGGCGCAGGCGAGGGCGCGAATCCCCGCGAGACGAATCCCGCCGGGGTTGTCGCCTCCCCCACCCCCAACTTGTAACTTTGAACCGCCTCGAACGCCTCCTCCTGCTGCTGCTTGAACCACCTTTAACACCTATTGTATGAACCACCTTGAACGCCTATTGTATGAACCACCTTGAACGCCTATTGTATGAACCACCTTCAACGCCTATTGTATGAACCACCTTGAACACCTATTGTATGAACCACCTTGAACACCTATTGTATGAACCACCTTGAACGCCTATTGTATGAACCACCTTGAACGCCTATTGTATGAACCACCTTCAACGCCTATTGTATGAACCACCTTTAACACCTATTGTATGAACCACCTTTAACACCTATTGTATGAACCACCTTGAACGCCTATTGTATGAACCACCTTTAACACCTATTGTATGAACCACCTTTAACACCTATTGTATGAACCACCTTGAACGCCTATTGTATGAACCACCTTTAACACCTATTGTATGAACCACCTTGAACGCCTCCTGCTTGAACCACCTTTAACACCTATTGTATGAACCACCTTTAACGCCTATTGTATGAACCACCTTGAACGCCTATTGTATGAACCACCTTGAACGCCTATTGTATGAACCACCTTGAACGCCTATTGTATGAACCACCTTGAACGCCTATTGTATGAACCACCTTTAACGCCTATTGTATGAACCACCTTTAACGCCTATTGTATGAACCACCTTTAACGCCTATTGTATGAACCACCTTGAACACCTATTGTATGAACCACCTTGAACGCCTATTGTATGAACCACCTTGAACGCCTATTGTATGAACCACCTTGAACACCTATTGTATGACCCACCTTTAACGCCTATTGTATGAACCACCTTGAACGCCTATTGTATGAACCACCTTTAACGCCTATTGTATGAACCACCTTGAACGCCTATTGTATGAACCACCTTTAACGCCTATTGTATGAACCACCTTGAACGCCTATTGTATGAACCACCTTGAACGCCTATTGTATGAACCACCTTGAACGCCTATTGTATGAACCACCTTTAACGCCTATTGTATGAACCACCTTCAACTCCTATTGTATGAACCACCTTGAACGCCTATTGTATGAACCACCTTGAACGCCTATTGTATGAACCACCTTTAACACCTATTGTATGAACCACCTTGAACGCCTATTGTATGAACCACCTTCAACACATATTGTATGAACCACCTTTAACGCCTATTGTATGAACCACCTCGAACGCCTATTGTATGAACCACATTCAACACCTATTGTATGAACCACCTTCAACGCCTATTGTATGAACCACCTTGAACGCCTCCTGCTTGAACCACCTTCAACGCCTATTGTATGAACCACCTTTAACACCTATTGTATGAACCACCTTGAACGCCTATTGTATGAACCACCTCTAACGCCTCCTGCTCGCGAGACTTTTTCGCCATTTGAGGAAACACGTGCTGGTGAACGAGCGACCACCACCCCCATTCACACACCCCGACTTGCACCCCCCCCCCCGGCTCGCTCCGTCCCTTCCCTGCGAGTCCCCTCGCTCCCTAACCCTCGAACCCCCTCCTGCGCACCCGCAGATCCCCCTCGGCGGATGATCGATCCCCCGACTCCGATGTGGGTTCTGTTCACGAGCCCACCACTCGCTCGCACTGATCGATAATCATCAACCGCGCACACCCCCCCCCCCACTCCTCACCCTGCCGATCCCTCTCCCCAACCACCCCCTTTGGACCCTACAAACTGATCGATACCCGATGGGGGTTCACCAACACCCCCTGGACCCGACCGATCTCCCACCGCTCCCCGATGGGGTTCACCAACACCCCCTGGACCTGACCGATCAACCAACGCGGTATCCCCACCCCCTTTTCACAATCCCTAGTGCGGATAAGAGGGGGCGCCCAATGAGGCGACGGTCGGCGTGGGGGGGGGGAGGCCCCGCGTGCATTCCCGGGCGCCAGCCAATGGGCGCCGGGCACGTCGCCCTATCCGCTGTAGGGAATTCGAGTCAATGTTAAGTCAATGGGAGGGAGGGGGTGGGGGTGGGGCGCGGAGAGAACCGGATTCTGGTGCCTCTTAGCTTTTTGGCCGTTGTTGTTGCTGGATTATAAGACGCACTCCAATGTAAAGTTACACAAATCTGATGACGAGTACCGGATTATAAGACGCACCCCAATGTAAAGTTATGTAAATCTGGTGAAACGTACCGGATTATAAGACGCACTCCAATGTAAAGTTACACAAATCTGATTACGAGTACCGGATTAGAAAACGCACCCCAATGTGAAGTTCTACAAATATGGCGACACACGTACCGGATTATAAGACGCACCCCAATGTAGGTTCCATAGTTTAATTTATTTGGTACAGCCCTGTGAGCCATTCGGCTCTTGAATCGGATGCAACTGCAAGAAACACAAAAACATGAACAAGAAAAACATCTTAAAGTGACTTTGTGTGACTGTGCAAACAGAAAATCCAGGAATAAAAACATCAAAATATTCCTGAAATAGCAGCGTACACCAACGCTGTGTGCAAAAATCCCAGTGGGATGCAAGTCAAACAACAACAACAAGAAGAAAACTTTGATTAAGGCCATCAGTCTAACTCCGTACTACAATAAACAAAAACATGGCCAAACCAAAAAACTTTTAGAAATCACCAAAATAAAGCCATAAATGTAATGTAACAGTGATCATAGGAACTGTGGTGTAAAGTTCTACAAATCTGGATAAACGTGCCGGATTATAAGACGCACCCCAATGTAAAGTTACACAAATCTGGTGACACACGTACCGGATTATAAGACGCATCCCAATGTAAAGTTATCCAAATCTGGCGACACACGTACCGGATTATAAGACGCACTCCAATGTAAAGTTATCCAAATCTGGCGACACACGTACCGGATCATAAGACGCACCCCAATGTAAAGTTCTACAAATCTGGTGACACACGTACCGGATTATAAGACGCACTTCCAACGCCAACTGTGAACGCAGGGCAAGGGGAGAGAGTTGTGAAGTGTCTTGCAATGCGGAGAATGCGGGAATGTTGTTGAGCCAGTTTAGTTTTCATCAACATTTAAAATGACCGAACTTTAACGGGGTCCCTTTCAGAGTTGACTGCTCCATGCTTTTATACATCTTGGTGACAATTCCCGATCGTCAAATCTATTTTATGTTTTGTTGTTGTTGTTGCTATGGATTGACCGTGGCCCATGATCGGTGACGAAGTGGAGATTTATTATTTTTCGATCGGCAATCCGTTAATATTTTAACAATGATTCCTGGAGATAAATGTGTCATTATTTTGAGATTGAGCTACGTATTAAACGTTCATTACAATTTCGAACACATTTACCTCACGAAAGTAACCGAAGTTGTAATTATTACCTCGTCGGGACGCAAGCGCCACAAAGCCGCGTCACCAAACTACGAGGGATAATTTCCCGCCTAAAATCCCACTTAATTACAACACGCACATTTAGCAATTACCTCAGGCGCGCGACAGCTAACACCATGGGAACTGGCATTATACACAACGATTTTACCTTCTGACCCATACAATTACCACTGTCCTGCAGCGAGACAAGGTTTCCCTCGTACTAAACCATTAGTAAGGGCCCTCGCTGAGCTACCAAGTAAGACGCGACCTGGCCATCACCAATGATCGGCTCAACTAAATTGGGCCTCTCCATCGTCGTCACCACCATCAGGGCGAAATGTCTCATCATCATCATCATCGGCATCAGCAGCAGCCAGGCAACTCGAAACGCCGTGTCGTTCATTCTCAACGCGGGGGGAATACACCGGAGGGACAGGGAGAAAAATCCACGCGACCACGGGGAGAGAGACGCCTCAAACTACAAATATACAGCAGCAGCAGCATCAGCAGCAGGCGAGGTCGTTAACATCTCATAGCCACCTGATGCCCTGGTACATTGGGGGGCTGTCCGTAAATGACGTCACGTACTTGGGGGGGGGGGGGGGGGGGTCAGAGATTTGTGACGATGTGTGACGAGGGTGGTGGGGGGGGAGTTTGAGAAATGTGACGTCACATCAAAATTCGCAATTTTAAATAAATATAGACACCACGTTCTACTTAATTAAATAGACTTTTTAATAAATGTTTCGTCCTACAACATCAGAGTGCAGCGCCACATTAAAAACGCACTACAATGACAATAGTTTAAAGCGATTTGAAGCATGTTTTATTTTGTTGGGGGGGGGGGGCAGAGCTTTGTGACGTCATATTTGAGGGGGGAGGTCTGATTTTTTGTGACGCCGTGTGACGAGAGAGGGGGGGGTCAAAAATCGTCCAAAATCGCGTGACGTCATTTATAGACGGCCCCTTGACCACCACGGTGAAGTATGGCCAAATAACCCCCATGCCCCACTGATTGGCCACCGGTGTTAGAACAACGCCAAAAGGCGAACCGGACACGTATGTTATGAGAGCCACGTGTGTTTGCATGTTTTGCCACATGCACGTGTGTGGTTAACTACAGACTAGATGCCTTGCGTACAGGTGCATCACATCTATTTTGGTGTTTGAACATTTTAACACAACATCCTGTTTTATCGCCTGAACAGGGTACCAAACCTCTTCTTACTCTTCATCATTGTGAATACTGCCATGAAGTTCCCATCGATATCGCTGCTGCTCGACCAGAGCCGTGAGTGTTCTTATAGACCGGCATTGTCTTTGTTGCTGTTCGCCTTGAGGCGTTGTTCTCTGGTGTAACACCGGTGGTGAGACAGGGCCTTGAAGAAGGCCGGTGGAGGCCACTCATTATTATTACTGCCAGAGCCATCCATGTGTGTTTGCTTGTTTTACCACAAGTACTGTGTTTGGTTAATTACAGACTTGACGCCTTGCGAAAAGGTGCATCACATCTGTTTGGGCGTTTGAACATCCGAGCACAACATCCTGTTTCTTTGCCAGGACAGGGCATCAAGCCTCTTCTTACTTTTCATTGTTTTGGATGCTGCCAAAAATGAAATGTCCTCCCACCCACCCCCGTCGATGTGGCGAATGCGAGCTGGAGAGACGGGGAGTGTTGCAGTGCGTGCAGGAGAGAAGAAGATGAGGAGGGGGAACTCGAGCGAGCAATTCTCATGGCAGGGACGAGTGGTCGTGGGGAAGGGCGTGAGAGTTGAGTGTTCATGGGGAGATCATCATGGATTCCTGTTGACGAAGGACAAGTTCAAAGGGCTCGCATAATGCACAATGTACATAATGCACATTGTACATAAATGCACATTGTACATAATGCACATTATACACAATTCACATGCACAATGTACATAATGCACATTGTACATAAATGCACATTGTACATAATGCACATTATACATAATTCACATGCACAATGTACATAATGAACATGCCCAATGTACACAATGCACATGCACAACGTACATACTGCACATGCACAATGTACGTGGCCTCTGTCATCCCACCACATTGCGCGAGAGAGCAGAAGGGGTGATCACCACATCTACGCCTCTTTATAAGGAACGAAACAGGTGGACTTCTCCACACATCTGGCTGTCGCCTGATGAACCTAGTTGTAATTACTGGCGAAACGTCGTACTCAGATTGTGAATGTTGCGGCTTGTCACTCCAACACAACCGGTTAGTGCTGTACTAGTGACGAATTGGCATGCTCTGTTTACGTGACAACCCTTACTAGTTGGCTGTGTCGGGTGGTGGCGGGTTTTAACGACACATTTATATAGTTACACGATCTAACCCAAAAACGGACACCACCATCCCCATGTTCTCGGCGTCGGTGTGGAGAATGTAACTTCATACAGCACAGACACGCAGATGATGTCTGCTTCGCATTTCCCTCTCTGCAGATGCATAAATAAAAGTTACCAACCGTGCTCGTCCGAGGTGCGGGGGAAAGTCAACAACAACAACTGTTTTTAATGTTTGTACACAACCCATGGGGGATTGTGTGAGTGCTGTACGAGTTGAGAGAGGCGTCCATTCCGTGCAAACTCCAGAAGCAACCCCCCCACCCCGCACCTCCGATTAGCACGGTTGGATACGTACGGTGCGAAAGAAGTTCACCACACATACACACTGCCCATAGACTAACACTACACATAGACGTACGGTGTGAAAGAAGTTCAACACATCTACATACTGCCCATAGACTAACACTGCACATAGACGTACGGTGTGAAAGAAGTTAACCACACATACACACTGTCCATAGACTAACACTGCACATAGACGTACGGTGTGAAAGAAGTTCACCACACATACACACTGTCCATAGACTAACACTACAGATAGACGTACGGTGCTAAAAAAGTTCACCACACATACACACTGTCCATAGACTAACACTACACATAGACGTACGGTGTGAAAGAAGTTCAACACACATACACACTGTCCATAGACTAACACTGCACATAGACGTACGGTGCGAAATAAGTTCACCACACATACACACTGTCCATAGACTAACACTGCACATAGACG